CCCCACCCCGGCCACACCCCACCCCACACCTTTCCTAGACCTGCAAAGAGCAAAAATCTCCACAGTTTAAAGTGCAGTACAGGTCAAGAGGGAATTCAACAACACAGCCCAAAAGTTTCCAGAGCAGATACCGAATGAGCATTTGCAGTAACATCTGTAAAGGCTGCTTACACTAGAGATTGTTAGAGGCATGTTGAAATCCTTGCCACCTTGCAGCCGGAAACCCCAAGGAGCTGGGCCAGCCAAGGACACGGTGTAGTTGCTCATGGTTCCCAGGGTTCACTGTCCGACTCCAGAAAATGAAAGAAACTGTGAAAGAAAATTAGATAGTTAACAGAAAATGTTTACTAGTGCAGGTGGGGGAGGGCTCTAAATATGATTAAGGTCTACTGTATGAAATGCACAAAAATTCTCAATAAAAATATATGTTGAAAAATGTTTATTAGAAATCCAATTACATAATCAATATATTTAATACCAAGCCAACCAAACTATGTTCAGTATTTTGGGGTGGGATAAAAGGACACAAAGGAAAAGTCTAATATTCATTAATTTCAGCCCAGGAAAGGGAATCTATGAGCTAATCAACACACAATTTTTCTGCTCATGCCAGTTTTTAGAGTGTTAATTCCCTATCAGAATGTATTTCTAGACACATAATCAATTTTACAAATTGCAAAATCCAATTTTGTGAATTCTTGCATACAAACTTTAATTCAATGGATTTTAACTACAGGAATTACACATCTAGCCCCCAAAAAGATTATATTTCAATTTTTAATTCAAAATGATTTTCCTGTTCCCTCCACCTGATGCATTGTTTCATCCAGTTTATGAGACTCCCTCAATGTCACTTATCTTAATTCTCTATTTAAAATATAAAAGGGGGGGTTGGGGATTTAGCTCAGTGGTAGAGTGCTTGCCTAGCAAGCACAAGGCCCTGGGTTCGGTCCTCAGCTCCAAAAAAAAGGACAAAATAATAAACTATAAAAGGGACTGCAAATCAGTAGGCAGTGTTCATGTTTTCTAAATACTAAATGCTCTGAAAATGAGAAGAGCACAAACCTACTCTAATTATGAACTATAGCTCATAGTCTGTCCTACAGGACTATGGTATTTTCCACAGTTAAAGGAACTTAGTATTGCCTCATTTTCCCTTTTACAGAAGAAATCATTTGCTTTATCTGCAGTGGTTCAGAATTCTACATGTGCTACTGAATTTCGTGGGATGAAACAGAAGTTTGAATGGATTTTTAAAAGTTGATAAGTATAGTAAGGCAGACATAGAAAGTGACTGATTTAACACTTCAGATTTTCTAAGAAGTATGAAATATGTCTGAAATGGAGTTTGTTTATTTGTATATGGTGATGGGAATTGAACCTAAGGCCTTATTTTTCTTTCCTATAGGCAATGATAGGCTATACTCTAAGAAAGATGGTATTTTAGTCTGAATCTATGTATTGTTTTATACACATATGTCATCCAGTAAAGCGGAGAGTAAGTGTTCACAACCCCATAAATGACTATACCAACCATGACCCAAGTACAAGGTGAATCTTAATGAAATGGATTGGAGCCTTAGAAAACACCATACTGCAGTACTTGCCTGCTTTGCTCTATCTTACTATAAGTAGGATCATAAGGATGCTAGGGTAACACTTTTAAATGCTGAAGCTGACACAGAGTTTCCTATTGGCAGTTAGGAGGCACCGGGAGGAATGAAGGTTGTATCTTTTTTCTTTTTAATTTAATACTCAAGGACATACAGGTCTTCCTTTTAAAAACACAGGAAGTGTGATGATTGTATAACTTTAAAGATGCTTTTACAAAGTCTTGGGCTGAAAATATAGCTCAGTGGTAGAGAGTTTGACTAGCATTTTTGAGGTTTTAGGTTCATTTCGTAGCGAAAAAAAACTATTTCAGACACACTTCATACTTCTTTAGAAAATCTGAACATTAAGTCAAATCGGCCACCTTATATTACCTGCTCTAATATACCTTTCCACTTTGTACAATCCATTCAAAGTTCTATGCCATTGCAACAAATTCAGCAGCACATGTAGATTTCTGAACCACTGAGGATAAAGCAACCTAATTCCTTCTCAAAAAAGGGAAAAAAAGACAACACTTTACAGTAAGTCTAGTTCTTAAAGAAAAATTAATTCAAGGATAATGTGTGCTGCATTTACACAGAAAATAAGCTTTCTAATGGAATGGTAGTAGTCTGAACTACTAGACAGTGACAATACTTTGGTACTGAAGTTGCAAGCAGTGGCCGCACAAAAAAGTCAAACTTAAACCACAGGTGAAAAGCCAAAGGCAGTGAGTTAACAGTAAGCTACACATAATTGTTTTCCCACTATAAAACGGGTTTTCATAAACAAGTCTGAAATGCCAACTGATAGTTCTCAGGCCACTGTCCTTTTTTTAATTTTTAACTTGTGACAAGAGAAGAACGTCAAAGTTATGCTCAACTTCCTCTGGCTCCATTCTTCTCTAGGAGAGAATGTATTTCATGTATGTATCAACCCATGAACATAGAATTTCCCTTTTCTTCTGGCCTCCTGTCCTGACTGCTCTCATTTCTTATAAAATTTCTAGCACTGGCGCCAGGTCAGCCAGCATAAAACCAGGGGTCTCTCTTCTGGATTCTTTACTAGGTTCACTTGGAATGGGTTTGCCTTAAAATATTCTGATCCCTAAGCAATGGCAATATTTCTATTGGCCTTTTCCAAATCTCCTCCATCTGGTTATTAGTGTCCAAACGCTTCCTAAAATACAAAGCAGGCAGGAAATAGCTTATTCTGCTTGCTACCATGTAGAAAATGTTGGAATTTCTGTAGGGTTCTAGATTTTTCTTTTAGCGAACATCTAAATAATGCCTCTGCTCTAGCACTGGAGAAGAAAGCCCGAGGTGGTTTCCCACACTTCTATCCCAGCTTCCTTGGTGGGTGGGAGGCGGGAGGGGAGAAGGCTCCAAGTCACCTCCACCAAGTGACAAGCCCTGCAATTACAGCTGACTACCCTGAGATCCCTTTTCCCCTAGTGAGATCTAACGCGGGGGGAGCAGAATTCAAGCCACAGGCTCAGGATGAAAGCAGCAGATGAGATCGTGTTCCAGCTGAGGTTCACGCCTAGCCCAGTTGGCCAAATAAGGCTCCCAAGCTGGCTGTTTCCGTGGCAGGCGGGAGTAGACGTCCTCCGGGTCAGGAAGGCAGGCTGGGGGTAGGATCTGGCGATCACACCCTGACCTGGCCTGCCCAGCCACGAATTCTCTTTCCAAGTTCTGCCCGGTCCATACGCCCTTCCTTTTTCCACTCATTGTCAAACGCTGCGAGGGCAGAGTCTTAAAGAAGTCCCAAGTACTACACACTCAAGTGGGCTTCCCTTCTGGACGCACGGAGTTTCCCCCCAAGCAGGTTACACAATTGCAAATATTTAAGGAGAGGAAATAAACGCTTCTCAGTAGCCTGGGAGCCAGCAAACAAAATAGCTAGCCTGGCCCTTCGGGCCCCGCTTCCTTCCCACCCCCAGGCGGAGGACAGCCCGAGAGGCCATCGGGTCCGGGCGCTGCCGGCCGGGAGCCCCTAGCCGCCCGCCCCCGCCTCCGCACTCAATCGCTGCTGCGCCCGGCGCTCGGGAGCGCATGTCTGGCCAGCCCCAGCTGCGGGGACCCCAGCCCGACTCACGCCCGCTCCCAGGCTCCCCTCACACCTCCGCCGCAGCGCGCCGGGAGCACCTGAGGAGGTGCCGCGCGCTCCCTCCTCCCCACTGCGCGCCTAGTCCTCCCCACCGCGCGCTCGGTCCTCCCCATCCCGCGCCGCGCAGTCGCTCTCTCCGCTTCTCCCCTCAAGGACCGCGACGCGCTCCTCTGGGCCAGCGGCCACTCACCTCCGGACGCGCGCTGCCTCCACCTCGGAGAACCGCTGACAAGTGGCTCCCGGTGCCTGCGCCGTCCCCCTCAGGCCGACCGCAAACTTCCGCCTCCACGCTCGCCCCGCCCGGCCTCTGGATCTGGCCACACCCCTGCGCCCTGGCCACGCCCCTCGGCCGGCTGGGCAGGGTCTGGCCTGGACCAGAAGGCGATGGAGTTGCTGGGCCCGCAGACTTGCTGGGGCGGGCTGGAGACGCCTTAAAAACAATTGTTCTGCAGAGTTTCGGTGGGAGTAGGCTTAGGGGATTTCGAGTGGTACCTTGCCAAGATCAAGCGTTCCGCTTTTCTGGTTAGTAGTTGGGTGCTTTTCTCTCTACAGAAACTTGACAAGCAGTTGTTCTGGCTAAAAATAGAAAGCGGCTTTGGATAAATCCCTGTCTTTGCGAGTTCAGCAACTACTGCCTGGTTTTGTTAGAGACCTTTGTATATTCTCTGAGAAGTGCAAACTCTGATGAAATTGGCTTGTCAGAGAGGTGAAAATCGCTAACCCTAATATGTCGAAGTTAAATCTGTCCTCACACTAGAAGACAGTAATAGAAAGCAGTGGCCAAAAATGATTCCGCCTCAGCTTATTTTTCTATGTCAAAATCAAATAAAAGCCTATTTTCCTGCTTCTATAAAGTTGTTTGAGTTAGCTAGAGAATTTACTCACAAGCAAACGTAAATAATGCTCAGTGAACAAAGGAAAAGTAGCTTTCAGATTCTCACACTTTGAATTGACTTTTTAAAAAGTTAAAGGTCCAGTGTTAGCCAAGGTCGGTGACCCCCCCTAGAGGCGCAGGCAAAACTGTACAGTAGGTCCAAACCTGCTCTGCACATTTGAATAGCCATTAGCCACCATATGGCTATTATCAAATGAAATGTGGCTACTGAGATTTTCCGAGTTGTAGGGGGTTTTCATTCCCTGGGAAATGTTTTATATCTTTTTAATGAATTTCAATTTAGAAGCAGGTGAGGTAACATTCCTATTAAATACAGTTTTCAGTAGAACTACATTTCATTTTACTGTTCAATCTTTAGTACCTAAATCCAGATATGCACACCGGATTTTTTTAATTAAAAAAAAGTCTTTATGTTGATTGTGTACCAAAAGTATATGTTATATTCAGGTAAGAAATATGCTAAAAATTAATTTCATCTTTTAAATGCAGATATTAGAAAGTTAATAAGTATGTGACTCGGGCTGTATTTTCACTGGGCAGCACTTGCTCATAGTTTTATCACATTCATCCAAAGACTACATCTCAGGGAAGCTGTTTCTAGGTGTGAGATTCTTCTAGTTCACAGAGTGCTTTAATCTATGTTATCACAGTTCACATCTCACTTGAAAATAAAATCACTTGTTAAAACAGTTACTATCAGCAAGGCGTGTGTCCCAAGCCTTTAATCCTAGCACTTGGGAGGCAGAGACAGGCAGATCTCTGTGAGTTTGAGGCCAGCCTGGTATACATAGCAAGTTACAGGCCAGCTGGGGCTACAGGGAGACCCTTCCTCACTTTCTCAAAAAGACAGGAAAAAAAAAAAAGTATTTACCACTTACAAATACCATGTGCAAAGCAGAATGGTAATCATTACAATGACTTCACAGGATGAATGCCATCCTTATTTACAATTATTTTCAAATTCAAAGTTGCAAAACATTACAATTGATGATGGATAGTTTCATTTATGACAGGGCAGTGGCTGTTATCTTCTGAGAGTTCCAACTCTGTACCTCCTCCTCTGCTGCTAATACGGTGATATTGTGCTTAGAGCAGGGAAATTCATTAAGGACACCAAGAACTGCAGGGAATCAATGCCAGAGCTATCACCAGAGAATAAGCATCTTGAGATGGTGAGGAATAACTAAAAGTATGGGGTGTGTTATGTAAGTTAAATTTTAGTCCTTATTACAAACCTGCCTTGAATCTTCTCCTCCTCTTCCAGCCCAAGTACAAATAAACCACATGAAGGCATCTTGCATAAATTGATATTTATCCAATTACTCTCTTGGAAAGCTGCCTTCTGCTGGATTTCATCCAGACCTAGAATCCTTGGGTGTGGGCCTCCAGAATCTGCCTTTTTAACAAACACTGCCCATCCCCTTTCCAGGGAATTATTATAGTATAATGCTTAAAATCTATTTCCCTGTCTAGATAAAACTCAAAGTGCTTGCCTAACATGTGTGAGGTCCTAGTTCAATCCTTAGCACCACCGCCATCACCAAAAAAAAAAAAAAAAGGAAAAGAAAAATTACTTCCTAGAAATACTCTTTCCCAGGTAACTATATAAGATAATTAGGTAAGAACCACTTATCTCTTTCCTCCTGAAGGAAATCATAATTATAAATAACTGTGAGATATCACATGATTCTTTATCATTATTATTACTTAATACTAACAGTATTACTTAATTGGTTCCAGAACTGCCTTCTAATACCAAGGTCCTTAGGTGCTCACATCTCTTACATAAAATGGTGTAAGGTTTGCAGACAACCTATGTACACAGTTCTGAGTACTTTAAATCATTTCTACACACCCTACCTAACAGAGGGTAGTTACTATGTCACATTATAGAGAAAATGACAAGAAACAAAATCTGTTCATAGTCAATATAGCTGCAAGAATTTTTTCTAGCATTATCCATCTGCACTTGATAGACTCCTCTGATGCAAAACTCCAGATACAGAGGGTAGACTGCATTTGAAAAAGCACCACAAAGCATGCTTAACACCAAATAGATGTTAAATGATAACCTATAAAACTTCCCTAATTAACTGACTAGATTTATGGATTATAAAAGGCAAGTAGAGAACTTCAGCATTCATTATGCATGTGCTATATTTGTGATACTTGATGTACACTTGCTTAATTAATTTTTTGATGCATAGTTGTCTTTTTTAATTTTTTCAACTGTGTATTTTTCAGAGGAGAAATGACACTTGATGATCATGATTAAATCTAATGACAACTAACTGATATAAGTAGAACAAAGGATTTTACTCCATAAACTAAGTTCCTGTACCCACAACATTCAGTAAGCTATCTGACTTAAAGTTACAGAAAAAAAAAAGAAGAAAAGCTATAGAAACCAACAGTCTAGGGGCATGCAGGGAGAATTTGTAGTGAATTAGAAAAACAAAATAAATGTTGTTATTTGCATTTGAGAGGGAAAGAAATTACTGAACCACATCTTTTAGGACATGTGCCTTGACTTGCCTTACAGTGAACTATCACTGAGCCATTTTGACTCCTCTCCTCCTTCTAGAATGGATGACCATGAAATGGAGGACAGTCTGACTTCACACCATCAGGAAGAGAACTGAGCCACTGGGAAATCTAACCAGCATCCTTGACCTGGTTAACTCTTCTAGGTAAACTAAGGAGACTCTGGACACACCACAAATGAAACTGTATTTTAAAACTCCACCAAAACCAGTACATACAAAGCTGGAACAGAAGAAAAGGAAGAAAAAAACATGAAAAGATTAACCAATTTGAAAGAATTTGTAGATTATTTCATCTAAACATAGTACTTGCCTAAGTGAACAAATGTTTGCTTAACACACTTTATTATCCAATATATGACTCAGAACCTCTTGCAGTCCTTCAAAAATAACAAACTTTTAATTACAAGAAGACATGGCCATGACAAGCATTTATAAACTGCCAGTCTTTTAAAGGTTCCTACACTACTTTATCAATTTAAGTCTTAATCCAGAAAAGTAACTAAAGCACTCCTAAGTACGACTATAAAGGGGTGCAAATCTAGAATAAAGAGGAAGTATTTTCTATTCTCACATTTAAAGAATATTTGATGCTCTGGTGAGAAACAGAAGGCAGTGCGTCATGCTAAATGGCATTTGCGGGATCCTGGGAGAAGGGCAGAACTAAGACAGGTATGGCGAGGATGGAAAGAAATATAAGGATGATAACATCTATAAGACCAAACCCAGGAAGCCTGAGTAACCAGGGAAATGTGCAGCTGAGGAAGGAGGCAAAGTTTAATTAACTTCAAGGATTGCAGTATTGGCTTTGGGAGTATATTGCTAATTGCTACTGAAGGAAGAGGAGCACTCTGGGAGGCACTATGCATTTTACTGGCAGTTTCTAGTAAATAAAAAAGGCTAGATTGGTATGTAGGGTAAGAAGAGTGGATAGGAGCACCGTGAAAAAAGTGCTGAGGAGCTCTGAGCCTGATGCTTCATGAGGAAGGAAGAGTCCTCAGAAGATCACAATTTAGCCAATCTGTTGTTAGACAGTGAATTCGCTGAGGAGTCACACAGTGGTTAAGATAAAAAACATAAATGATTTTGGAGATTACATATGAGCAGTAATTGCAAAAGCTCAGCAGATGAAGAAGATTCTTGGGGAGAAAAAAGTCAAGAAAAAAATAAATAGGCCTGGAGCAGACCTGACTAATTGGTTGTAGAAAGAAATTAATCTGCTCAAACTGGGAGCAAGAAGCCAACCATGACTAGAATTCTCTTCTAGTTTCCTAGCTGCCAAATTTGCATTGATGCAAAAAGAGTTTGAGAAGTATCAGCTTAGGATACTGAAAAGAAATTAACGGCTGTGATGCTCAGGCTTTCTTGTATTCCTTATAAAGTCTGGCACATTTCTACTAATGGGCTAAAGAAAATGTCAACCAAGAAAAAATAAAATATGCAGTCCAAGATTTCTCACATAGATCTTACTTATGATACATGGTAGGTCAGTTTTGAAGCGGATACCTGCCCATGTTAGTGTATACAAAACCTTATTAAATAAATGATCGCCAAACATACGTGCGTGTACTATTTCCTCCAAGGAAGCCTACTGGTCATTACATTGCTGTTATTATCTCCTTGGCATAAATCACTGAAATGCTCTGTAGTCTTACAATTTGATTTAGCTTTCACCTACATTCCAAAGTCTGTTGACATAAGTAAATTTAAAAGTAAGTTCTTATTGGGAAAGAATCTGTCGGAATTTTGCTTTTTGCAGTTTTAAAACTGATGACTTTAAAAAATATTTTATTATTACTTCATATGAATGAGTATATTGACTACATGTATGTAAGTGCATCCATGTCATGCAATGCCCATGGAAGTCAGAAGAGGGCAAT